TTAGAAAAGGTGCGAGATATTCTGTATCAGATTCAACGTCCTTCAATTAGCCCGGAAAATGTATTTGCTCATGAATGGCAAGATGGTGATTTTGTTATTTTCCATAATCGAGGCGTACTTCACTCTGTGGTGGGTTCATTGCGAGAGACTGATACGCGTGTATTCCATCAATGTAATATTGCCAGTGCTGATGATCCAATTCCTGTCACCGAAAAAGACTTTGCACCCTATCACCCTAAAATAAATCAGCGATCAAAATGTTTTTTTTGATCGATATTGGCGATATCGCTCAAAAAATCGAAAATATCGATATCTCCGATATTTTTGATTTTTTGATCGCTGATCGCAAAGCCAAATTTTTAAATCTCTATAAAAACAACTTATACATAAATAAATAGATGTAGCAATACCATGTTAATAGATAAACGTAATTTTTTAAAGAAAAAAAATGTTTATGGGGATGATAGCCAGGGTAAGAAAAAGACAACTTCAGATTACGTAAGTAAAATGAGAAAACGGGACATGTGACTGTGGGTTTTAATGATTTTATATTTTATTCTCAGCGGAAAACAATGTTTCCAACACTTCCGGCAGTACTACTCATATCGACTTTAAAAGCGTCACCAGTCTTTATAACATATTTGTTATTGGAGCCGTCAACCGCATTCACCAATCCGACAGCAGACAAAAGATCCTCGGCATCAAAGACCACAAATTTTTTTTGCTCAGCCTCATCGTAAGGTTTCACGCGCGGGATAGCCTTTGAGTATGGTGAGACGTCATGATTCTTCATAAGTTCACCAAAAACGAAGTTCGAGCCCGGAGCACCTTCTTGATATGTAAAGTCAAAAAAGAACAAGACTTTACAAACGTACCAGTTTTCGACAGGCCGGAACATCCTAATTACAATAAGTCAGTACACAATAATTTTGATTTGCAAACATCAACTTACCGATTTTTATGAATTGCAGTAAACATAACAAACTCACCACCACGCGAACTTGCTGCGTTCTTCGATTTGCACAAATCAATATGTATATTTGATTGTTTGTCCAGAGTTTTTGAGAAATGTTGACAAATTGGTGCTGATGGAACGAAGTTATAACAGCCGAAGTATTACCAGTCAGACGAATCAAAAATTGAGAGAGTGCTTTAAGCCAGTCTCTTGCCAGGTAGCCGCCAATGGTATGATTGTGCTTTTCTTTTGCTTGCTTTACAACCTGGCCCAGCTTTACAGTATTTACCCGCCAGTGAAAGGGTGACCACAGCTGAGGCAACAATGGATCGTTGGACGGGTGGGGCAAGAAGTTGTTAACTTTATCCTTCTTCAAATCATAGGCGGAACTATCGATTATACCATCGGATTGCAAAAAAGAGAACATTTCACGAGTTTCCATGACATTACCGGCGTTGACACCAGGATTCAAAGATGAACGGATTCGCTTCTTGTATATGCCAATAGACCTTTCCAATGATCTTGCAGAATAACACCTTAACGGTCTACCAGAGAAATGAAAAATTAGTACAAAAGGGAAGTCTAATAACTATGATGACAATCGATAACTAACCCCATTCGTTTTATCATGTATGGTATATGGTTCAGTTGGTGCATGTTCGATCTGAATACGGTTCTGGAGATAGAGCTGCTATCAAGACAGGTATCGAGGTAATCAAACCAAGTCTTAAAGCATCTATCATAAGCAAATATAATGTTCAAGTAAATATCACTACATAAATTACAACTCAACAATGAATATTTACCTTTCAATTTCCTTCACTTCAGATTCGGATATCGACCATTGCAAACTCAATTGAATACCACGAGACAGGGCAATAAATCCTGTGGTTGCTTCTCTGGCGTGAAAGAGTGGGGCAACAATCGTAGGAATCACATGCACCAACCAGGCGATCCAGTCCACCGAACGATAAATAGATCTAACATTATCCAGATTGACACCAGCAAACGAACCACTGAAATCCGCAGGAATTGCACGAAGGGAGTCATCCATGGCGGTTTTGATGCGAGTAAAATCAGCAGTCTCGAGAGCAAACGGGTACGTGTCTTCGTTACCATCAAACTTGAACCGAGTGTTGAGCTTTGGTGAAAGCATGTCGAAGCAAAGCTTGCTGACATTCGAAAACATATGTAGCTCGTCACACATGAAAAAGTCGATGGAGAGGAAGGTACTCAACTGACCAAAGGGAGAAGCACTTTTAATACCATAGTTGTGGTTGGGACAAGAAGGCTAATAAAGGTAAATCAATTAAAATATGTAAAAAAGGCTACACAAGTTAATACTTACTGCGTCTTTCTCAAGTAATAAAGAAGCTTTGGTTCTGATAGCCGAGTCTCTGCCAAAGAAGTACATACCACCTTTTCCTCCGTCAACTGGGTGACCGCCTTTAACTAAATTTAGAAGGGTCATTTTGTTAGTGTCCACGGTCATAGCTTAGTAAACTGACGACTTACCAATACAAAATCTACATCCCCACCAGTTGGTATGACCACTAAACATCAACAACCGCTGGTTGATCTCTATACCATCTGCAATGACACCCAAATTGAAAATTCTAGCCGACGTGACATGAACACCATTCTTGCGAACAACAACAGGTTCACGACTCAAACGATCAAGGCTTTCAATAATTGGACGCAGATACGAGTCAAAGTCTTTCTTAGTGTCACCAAAAAGAATTGCAACTTGAAAAGTATATTCATCGGTGTATCTGCAAACGGTGTTATTACGACGTAAAAAGATTGGATGTATTGTATATAGAGCCAAAATTTACCTGATAGACGGATCAATGCTAGCAATTATAACGTGTACCATCACCATACTTTTTCTTGATACCTTCGAAGTGAACCCATCAACACATAGAACGATGGCTAAATCGTGCTGACCAGTGAAGAGACCTTTAGATTTCATTTCTTTATACGCGGCTCCAGAAAAAAAATCGGTATATGGATCATCGTCTGTCATGGAATCGATTACGTTTCGGTATTTTTCGACTTCATCACGAAACTCGTCACAAGCTAGCATACGACTTAAATGTTCACCAATATCAATCATTTTTACCACAGATTCTTTATGTCTAACAGCGTTACAGTGAGGACAAGCGGTTTTATCGGCATCATCGACAGGATCAAAGAGATAACACCCCTTTCGGGAACAGATTTCATGGCTTTGACTGAAAGAAAGTGGAAGTTTCTTCTTGATCAACGAACGACACTCCTTCAATGCGAGTACTTTTTTCTTTTTATCAAGGCCTAAAAGGTAAACTAAATTAGTAAATAATGATACTTTGTAAATACAAATCATTAACATACTGTTGTTTTGGTTCAAAGTGTTCTCAAAAAATTTCTTCATAACGCGCACAGCTTCTATGGTCATGTTTCTACTAAATGTAAGATAGTTGAACATAATACTACTCAGCTCGCTGGTGCTAAATACGTTAATGGGGACAATGATATCCTTGATGTTGTCCTGTATTGTTACATTATGATCAAGTGACAATGGTTCTAAAAGTGAAAATAATACATCCGGTAAGTTGTCATGATGTCAACAACTCGAGCATCCTTAGTTACCTTCGAAGTTCTCTTCGTCCGTGGATTCATACAAATCCTCGTCTACTTCACCGTCTACAACAAAGCCATCATCAGAGGATTCATCTTCAGCATCTACGTCTTGTATGGACATTTGTCCAATTAAGGGAAGAGCGATTTGGTTATCGAGGTCAGCCATATCAACATCATCGTAAAAATCCATTTCTTCGTCATAGTCAAAAGGTGTACGGTTGGTTATTATAGCAGTTGGGAAGCCAGTAGATACTGAAGAGGATACAGCAAAAACAGAAGTGTCAGTTGGGCCAGGTACAATGGAGGCAGCAGTAACGGCCAAGGGTTCATATGTGCCTCTTAAAAGACGTTGGTTAGCGCCGTTTCGAGAAGCTCTAAGGTTCTTGGGTTTTTGAATTTTGGGGTAAACCATTTTGAAAGTTTTTTAAAATTTCGTTTTTGGTAAGTTGGGAACCGATTTTTGCGTGTAGTTTTATACATGTTGCTACATCTTATTTACAGCTTATTAATAGTCACTGACCGTTCTTAGAACCAATTGGAATTACTCGTGAAGTTATCTTATAATTATTAATAGAGAGGATATAGTAATTCTGTGTAGACTATGGATACCTTTCAAAACCACTAGAAATCGTTGTTTGGGGACTTCAAGCTTGATCTATTGTTAGATTTTCGTGTAACGAGGTTATTAAGCGAAATTTTTTTTAATTCTGTACCGTGATTGGTGCAAATAAGTTGAACCACTTACATCAAGGTAAATGACAATGAAAAAAAAAATGTATCTTTAAAACATCTATATAAGATCCAATACTTACACCTATTTTCTCATTTACATCGATTTTTCACTCTATTTATCACAATGAACGGTACCCAAAACTCAAATTCTCGAGACGAAGTCATTGAAAAACTCGTTAATGCCATTTACGATATGCAAAGAAAGCTTGATGCGATGCCTGCCACAATGAAAGAATATATCTACCTGCCAGTTGGTCAACACTGTGAATGCTGCAGCAAGGTTAAGAAAGTGGTCAAATCCAATGGTACTTCTGCAATTACTTCTCGATCTGGATATATCACTGGTACGTTTTTATTTTATTTTACTTTGTAAGACGAATTAAGTTAATAATTGCCCTATCTTTTCAGCAAGAAATTCCGCTGCTCAACAAATGTACGAAACCGTGGTCAAGGCTGTCGCCTATTACAAGGAGCATGTTATACCCAATGGTATTCACACCTCTTGCAATTCTCTCGGTGTAAGATCCATCACCGTATGTACTTATACAAAGAAAACCGTCATAGACAAGGTTGCTGCGTACTGGAGATCTTTGGTAGGTACCTATACTGAGGATCAAGCTAAAGAAAGGGCGACAGCAGCTTACAACAATGTCTTCACCATTTGCCAACATTTCTTGAAAGCATTGTACCAAGAACGATTTGGAAAGAATGGTGTCATTTGGAGGGGGATTCCTGCCAACGAGCAGAATGAAGTATTGTATATGTTCGAAAGAATTGCATACTTTTGGAACAAGCGCTCTGGCTTGAACGTTGGTACACCCCTCGAGGCATATCCTGGAGACCTTATCTCTGTCATTGACGCCGAGAACCCAATGCTACCCATGCACCTCGCCGATAAAAACTGGATATCCAAAAATATGATCCAGATAATGTTGAGGAACTCAGCAAGAGTAAGTAAAGTTTAGATATCAAATTAAGAATTTTTAACATTAACATAAACCTCAACTCTAGCCAGATGACATTGCTCATGATACCTCGGGTTCATTTTTGACTGGCCTGGAAAACCTTGGTGTCAATTCGGGTACTGAAGAGAGGTACGAAGACTTGGATATGGGCCTGTTTGAAAATTTATTTTCGATCCCTGATAACAGACCTATTGCACCATCGTCTTCTTCCGCTTTGGTACAAAATCCTGTTTTGACCTCTCTTCCTCCCTCTGAGATGCCTCCTCTCTCTGACTCGCCTCCTCCTCCCACCTCTGACTCTCCTCCTCCCACCTCTGCACCTGCCCTCTCCACCCCAAGTACTACCCGTCCAAAAGGTAAAAGAAAGGCTGATGAAATAGCATCTGGGACCAATAGTCGACCCTCAAGGGCTTTCCAAAAATAGAATTGAGCCTGAATTTTTTTTTTTTTCTTATTTAAACTCTGATTTTTTTATTATTTTTTTCTTTTTTCTTTCTATTTCTTTCAAATAAAAACTCAACTTAAGGTTTGTATATGTGTATAGTTTGTGAATATATGATTTATCATAACCATTTGTTTACAAATGAAGATATAGTTATGTGACTAAACATTAAACGTGCTGACACTCTCCAAACGGATTAAACCAAGACTCTTTGCTTTAAAAGTAAATTTACTTACTCTTTTTATATGTATTAACACATTTGTATAGCTGAAGCCATCTCTACTTTCACCGCTTGTGAAAAGGTAAATATCTCGACTTTGGTTTATGTGTTTATTATTAGTTAACCCAAATTCCTAAAGCTAGCTACCATCGCTGTTTATTTGAGGCTCGTACATCCCACGGTTTTGTAAAGGTACACATTGCTAAACTTGATAATTTATTCTCTTATTAACGTAAACCATCTTTATGCAGGTAAGTGAATACTGCTGCTCTTCCGAGGTCTTCGTATGGTCACTATCGTAGTTCCTCTCATTATGTCTGTCTCTGGTCATATTTTACTGGTCATTTTCTATATTTGAAGAGGTCTATCATGATCAGACTCGACGTTATTTAGTTTTTTTTTATAAATAAATTTTTTTTTTTCCAATATATACAAACGTATCAATTTTAAGCCTGTATCCTGATTTAGCAGGGGTGTAAAAGTAATATTATATCGGTTATCGATTACCCCATTTTTTTTACCCCATCCAACGATATTTTTTTGTTTTTTTGATTTATGGATCGATATCGTCAATCGCGATATTTTGGAAAGTTTGATCGATATTGCCAATAACGATATTTTAGAAAGTTTGATCGATATTGCCAATCGCGATATTTTGGAAAATTTGATCGATATTGCCAATCGCGATATTTTGGAAAAATTTATCGATATCGCCAATCGCGATATTTTTAAAAAAAAGATCGTTATTTCCGCTCTAATTTGTTTGCGATATTTTTCAATTTTTGATCGCTGATTTATTTTAGGGTGTATGTTGTACAGACTACTGCTTAGCCATATAATAATTATAAAAAAAAAATAAATAAATAAATGATATTCATAATTAACAAATATAAAAAAAGGGCGGGTATTTTTTCATTGGATAAAGTTTAATAGGGATAATATAAAAAAAGAAATTAGAAAATGTTTGATATTGGTGTTATTGTGTTACAGAGAGTATCATCATCATCATCATGGTGATGAAACAATAACAATTTGATTTCTTGTGGGCATGACCTTGTTATTCTCGAGAGTGTTGCATCGTCTTGTGAGTCTTCAAATTGATCGTTCACGTACTGAGGCTAAAATAACATGTTAGTTCCATCCGAATGCCGTCTGTTTAGTATGTACATTTCATTGTATTCTATCTTACACAATCACTGGCTTTATGCTTAGCTACAATAAATCATTGTTGGTTATTTTTTTTTAAGGCATTTACATTTAGAATTGACTCTATAATTGCTTACTTGATCCACAAAAGTAGCAAATATTATGTGACATGATTTTAAAGAGAGAAAGAGAAAGAGAAAGAGAGAGTATGTAAAAATGTGTGTGTGTGTATATATATATAGATATATTTTTTTTTTAAAAAAAAAAGAAAGATGCGGGAAAGAAAAAAAAGAAGAAATATAAAATAAAAATAAAAAAAAAAGACGGCTATAAATATGTGGGTTGTTTAGACATCGAAACGGACGGCGGCCTGTATCACCAAATGTAAACAATAATTTGCAAAAAAAAGGAGTAACCAATTATAGACCTTTGGGTATAACTACCGTAATACGATCGGCTGTCTGTCCCCAGGCACTTCGCCTGTTCACAAATAGACCGTACCATGTCGTTAATAGAACAAACCAGACCATGCAACCTCCCAATGACAGATAAATGTCTATTTTTTTTTTTATTATTATTCCTTACACGTGTTTAGTCTCTTTCCTAATCTCATTACACACATGTGCTTACACTTCTTTAATGCTTTGGGTGCTGTTGCTTCTCGACTCGTTCTGAAAAAATATAAAAAGTTGACTAGCCACAAAAGCGGCAAGAACGCAAACCCTCCATAAAACATTTTCTTGCTAATATTTACATGCTCTTCCGAGCTCATCTTTTCGAGTTTTGGCATTGACGCGGTCAAGATGTGTGTAATGAAGAAAAGAAAAATAAAAAAATAAAAAAATAAAAAAAAAAATAAAGTCTCCTATTTTTTATTTTTCAATTTCTCAATCTAAGGATAACATGATTTGATATGCTCATTGTTGTCAGTTGTATAGCATTGACCTTCATTTTCGAGATACTCAATGGCATTTCTGATTTCCTGTTCACTATAGACGCCTTTGAACTTGTAGATGATTTGTTCCGCAGTACAACCTTGACTATCGGGATCGTACTTTTGAATAAAATCACTGACTGCCGTATTCACAGACTTTGGAGCACTATCAATTTCCATAGCGGTACCCTAAGATAATATCCATCTACTTAATCACTAGAAATCTATCTCTCTCCTCTATATGTACTTACTCCGTTGGGCTTAACAAAAGTTAAATGTATATGGATGGTATCGAGAAAATGGTATGTAACCTCGTTAAAGTCAGTAATAGGGCGAATGAAATGACCTGATACTGAAATACGGCCACTGAAACTATTGAGTCTTCCGTTGACACGCACATAAGTGTCAGGCCTTTTTTTTTTTTTAAAAAAAAGAATGTGAGTACTTCAAAAAATAGCTATCAAACTTTTTAAAGACTTACAATAATAATCGACGTGCTTCAGATTCTTCAGGTGTTTCGCTTTGTTCAACCCATTTTTTAACTTCAATAGCACCAGTACCGTCCTCAACCATGTAAATGTAGTTGGTGGCTAATTCTTGAACAGATCTAATGACACCGACAATGGTAACCTATTTTTTTTTTTTTATTTACTGCGTAAGAATTCTGTCATTACTGCTTCTCCCGCCCTTTATTTTATATTCATTACCTGGGTTACGTCGGCTTCATCAATTCTGTAAAGATCGTCTTGAGGTATACTACAGCCTTTGATTTGCTTGACAGTCAAGGGTCTCAATGTTTGTTCTCCCATTGGTTTCTACATTATAAATTTAGAAAAAGTTGTCTGGTAAATAAAATAAAATAAAATAAAAAAAAGAGCGTGTATAATTATTACTCTGGTAAAACCAGAGGAAGTCTTGTTGGAACCGTCAAAAGAAGTATTCATATATCCAGATCCTGATTTTCCGTAATCCATTGTGTAAAAGAAAAGAAGAAGAAAAAAAAAAAAAATTAGGTCGGGACGCGGGTTTATTTTGCATGCACATACACACGCGCGTAAGTTTTTCGCGTATGCCCAAAAAAAAATTAAGAATAAGTATGACGTCGCTTTTCTGCACCTTTATGATATGAAAAAAAAAAAAAAACGTGTTTTGTGTGTGCCAAAAAATTGACAGATCTTGTAACGAGTCTGTCAAATAAATCGGTACTTGTACTAGTAACCTCAGAAAAAAAAAAAAAAGATGTTTACCAATGTAAATGCATATTTTGAATAATACATTGAACCTTTTGGCGAGACTGTGAATTTGCCTGTGTGACAATAATAGGATAAAAGGTCCATCAACAAAAACTTTATATGTGTACTCAGTGCTTAGCACAATAAAGTTTATTTGCAAAATCCGTCATCTCTGGACGCACAAATTATTCGGAATTTTAGTCAACCAATTTGTAAAAAAATCGTATCTAGATAAAAAGGCATCTATTTAGTTCTACATAGTTGCTGAGGAAAAATAAAAAGGTACCAATGATGACAAAATTACTATTTGCATTGTTCTAAACCCTTCTTTTTTTTAGCGGATATTACAATCTCCACAATAATACTACTTCTTTGGAATGTTTGCTAGCAATCACATTAGGATCATGGGAAGATCCGGGTTTGATCAAAGTATTAATGTCATTTCTTGTAAACTGTCCAAGTGAGCTTTTTTCTTCTCTATCTACCCAATTTATATTAGGCAAAATAAATTTAAAGTATGAATCACATGCAGTAACACACACTTGATAAATTGTAAACAGGCGCCAATGATGGATCCATTGAATTTAACTGTGGCACATTATTATACTTTTGCAAGGTAACTCCTTGACAGTCTAGATTTACACCGAATTCTGTGGGAGAAAAAAAAAAGGTTTTATTTTGTGTGTGTGTGATGTAAACAATCAATATAAACAGAACTTGTCATAAACAAAAAATTTAGTTACACGTAGATTACACACGATGAACACATTTATTTTATTTCTGAAATAGAGACATTGAGAATAAATGTGCAGAATATACAACATCCTTTTTTTTTTTTTTTTTTTTTTTTTTTTTTTTCAATCTAAACACAGGAACAATCATGCATGCAGAAAATCAGGTCGTGAAAATCTTTAAATTATACGTCACAGTTTTTGACGGGTTTAATTTTTTTTTTTTTCTCAGCTCCTTTTTCTTTTCTTTTTTCACAATTGTTTACTCTGTAAAAATCAGGCACATATATGAATAATACGACATTTGTAAGTTTATTTTAACATTATTGATAGGGTTCTTTTAGAACACGTAATTATTGTAACATTCTATTAAAACGCGTCTTTCATATTTAAGGATACCTCTGAAATGGGTACAAAATCAACTGCTATCTTCGAGTGTGGATATACAGACCAGTACATGTTTCAGCTTGCCATAACTTCAGACAAACCCAAAGATTTGAATTCTTATTTTTGTCTGTCACTCGTTGATCAGGTTAAGAAATTTGAAAACCACAGGGAGAAAATAGCGGCAAAAGTTCATCTCGTGGTTATGGTCACTAGCGATATCCCACAGGTAAAAAAAAAAAAAAACAAGAGAAAGATAAATGCCACAGCAATACTAAAACTATTTTTGCAGGTCACAAAATATATGCACCATACCGGGCATATGGCTACCTTCCGCTGCAGAATTTGCCTGTCGAAAGGAGAAAAACGCGAATGCACCGGTTTTGGCATGTACTTTCAAAATAGAACTGCGTCGTTAAGAACAGTTTCCCAGTTTGTGCACGGAGATCAAGTAAGTGCTTCAATCTATGATAATGAGTCTATAATTTAAAAATCATATAATAGGTACACCAATTAAAAAAGGCCAACCTTTTCTCCGTGTTACCTTCCTTCTCTGGCTCTTCTTTCTATGGTTTAGATGAGATGCACTTGCTTGGGCAAGGCATTGGACGCTTCATTTTTGATATTATTGTAAAGGTCAACAAAACCAATGATACAAGTTATTACGCCAAGAAACAGAATACTTTTAACAAGGATGGCTACACTTTCAAGGTTCCAAAAGCACAACTTGATCTGGTTGGAACTTGTATTACCAGTTCCAGGGCAAGTATTCCTGTGTATTTTCAGGAAAGTTGGGACAACTTAATCGAGAAAATTGACGGAGCCCGGGCAATCGACTTTTTGGATTTTTTGTTGTACGTGGTTCCAACTCTGTTGGTACCTTTGTTTCCCAGAACTGCGGTAAGAAAAGCACTTATTATGCTTTCTAGAGGTTGTGCAATTGCACTACAGTGGGAGCTTACGGGTCCTTTGATCCAGGAGATGGAAAGGTAGAATTACATTTATTAGACATATTCATGAACCTATTAAATTAACACTTTCCCTAGTTGTTTCGAGAGTTGGCATGTATTTTTAGATCAGGAAATTACTAAAAAGAATATATCCAACAGCATTTACAAACCGAACAATCACTACCTTTCTCATATCGGCTATATTGTGCGAAAAGCGGGATGCATGAGATCTTATAGTGCAAGATCCATGGAAAGAACAATTGACAAATATTCCAAATTGATTAAAGTTGTTCGAACAGCTTGCGATATCGAAACCCTTCTTTTGGAGACAAATGGGCCGTTCAATCACATCGACCTACCCAAACTCTCTTTTGATAATAGTAAAGGAATGTTTGGACTATTATTCATGCAATGTACACGCCGGAAAAAACGCTGGGAATATGGTGGAAAGACTCTCGATTCGTGGATATATAAATTTGGCTTTAGACACAGTCAGTTTGTTGGATACAATCACGGCAACAAAAACATCACCGGATGATTTTATAGAGCTGCCGCTTACAGCAATCCACAACCAAAATCATCAGCTATGGAGCCCGTTCACCTTATTTTCTCAAGACATGGTCGAATCGGTCCCCATTGATACGTTTCTTCGAGAGCTAAAAATTTATTACAGCCGTTCAACAACATTGCCTCTCTCTCATATCACCATTAACAATATGAACTTCAAAATTGCTGCCCGCGCACTTTTGTACAGCCTTGTAATAAGTTCCAAAATGTACCGTAGAATCCGATCGGAACATCGCCGTGGAAATCACTTTGTACTATTCAATGCAAGCTATAAATCGTAAGCATCTATTATTTCTTAAATATGTGTCGGTTACTTACCAATTATATGTAGCAAAACTTGTTGGTACATTGGGGCGTTGCTTTTTTACTTCGAGCACAACAACTCATCCGATACTCAAAACGCACAATTGGTTTTTGTTGAAGTAGTTTTTCTAATATCCTTAACCACCCAAACATTTTTTAACAGTAATAATATTGTTCTTTACCCTTCTTTACAAAATAACATGGCAAGTAACACGACAAATAACATTACTTACAGCGCAAACGGTACCCCTGTGGTGCAATCCGCTCAAACTGCAGCATCTGCCTTTATTGCCCCTCCTAAAAGACGTACTGGTGACAACCAACGCATTGCTGTGCTCGAGGGTCGTATGGATGCATATGAACGAAGAAATCGACTTGTTGGTGATAGAATAGGAATTATTGTTATCCACATACATATACATATGTCTTTTCCTCAATAAACTATTGTATTACATAAACGCAAGTTTTTCTTCAGAATATATAACGCATGTCTAGATATGAACAACAGTAACGTTGGATTATTAGGAAGGTCAAGATTTTGTTTTTTAGCAGAACCGGCAGAAAAGGAGTCTCTCTCCGTCGTACTCCGATTTAATGCTTCGGTCTAATGATGACTCTATAATATTCGAGGAAAATATTTCTGCCAGCATCATTTTCCATCATATGTTTTATGATACGTAATACCTTTGGAATGCATTGAGACTACTCAAAACCTTTTGGTATGCACACTTATTTTACAAAGCTTTGCGTAGAAAAGTCGACATACAGTACAGTAACATATTAGATATAACAATGTATGTAGCGTCGATTTTGCGCACTTTTAGCATTTACTATTGCGGATTCGGGTTGATTTGGCAACTAGTTTAGCGCTCTTACAGCTTCCTGTATTTTTTCTTGATATTAAGTACATTATACATAAAGCAGCGTCCGTTTATCAATCTACTTTATATTCATTGAGAAACGAGCATATTGTTGGATTGGATTATCCGGCACAAATGTGAGAAAACTGTTTTCTATATATTGAGCAGTAAGCAATTTGTAGTAGTGTGTAGTAGTGTGTAATTGTATGTATTTAATTCAAAGAGTAATACAGCATTGTAATTTATAAAAATTTTATTAGATAAAAAATAATACTTTGGACGATCGACATTTTATCGATCAGCTCAGATAAAGTGACCAGGCATGGAAAAATCTTCACTATAATATAATCTGTTTTGTCTGAAGTAGACATTAAGGTGAAATAATATAAGGCTGTGATTTTAAAAATTCTGTAAATTGAGAGTGGTGGTGAAGCACAGATTTTCTGTATTGTCGGCTTTTTGGCCCTCATGGCTTAAATTGATTGGGTAAGAATAAAAAGATCCAAATATAAATTTTAGATTTGATTATGCCCATCCCATGGTGAACAGATAAACCACTACAATCAGTTCCCCCCTCATTAGAATAAAATTTAATGGCTTAAATTTTGGCTACGTTACATGATGCCACGTATTGATTCACCCTTTGTTATTTTGCCCTGAATTGTGTGTGACACTAGTTATGGGCGGAGTAAAATGATGTCAGAAGGAGGAGGAGAGTATAAATTAAAGAAGAAAACGTGTCCTCCTTAAAGTTTTTTTTCTTTCTCATCTAATTAACCAAAAAAAAAAAAAAAAGATGGAAACAGCTGTAGAATCAAGTACAAAGGAACTTGGTTTGTATATCGCTTATGGCGCTATTATTACAATGGCAGTGGCACCTATTTATGCAGGATCACTTGCGTCCATCGGTGGCATGAAGCGACCTGCCAACGCTGCCAAGGCCAAGAAGAGTGGTTCGCCATTAGATGAATCAGATGATGAGGATGAGTCCGTTTCCGAAAGTCTTTCTTCCGGTGATGCTTACATGTTTCCCGTGATTGGTTCTTGTGTCTTGTTCTCCATGTACCTCGCCTTCAAATTCTTGGATAAGAAATACATCAATTATGTCTTGACCAGTTATTTTTCTGTAATGGGATGTGCTGCCGTAACCAAGACCTTTTTGATGGTCTTTAAGAAGATCACACCCGTCTCTTGTCTCAAGAACGTTGCTAAATACAAGGTGACGATTTCCAAGCGATCCAAGAGTAAGATTAGATATGCATGACGGTGATCCATTTTTTTTTTAATTTGTACTCAATTGTTATTGTATAGATGTCTCTCACATTAGCTTTACCGTGATTCATGGATTCTTGATTGTGGCCTCTCTTGTATTGACAGCTTATTACAGCTACACCAAAAACTGGATTGCATCCAACATCTTTGGTCTTTCATTCTCGATCAACGCAATTCAACTTTTATCACTTGATTCATTCAAGACCGGTATGATTTTATTGAGTGGATTGTTCTTTTACGATATCTTCTGGGTATTCTACACACCCGTTATGGTTTCTGTTGCTACCAATTTCGACGCACCCATCAAGCTTTTATGGCCTCGCGATATTCTTGAATTTCTCTTTGCACAAGCAGAAACCAACCGATTCACCATGTTGGGTTTGGGCGATATTGTGATTCCTGGTATCTTTGTTGCTTTATGTCTCCGTTATGATCGTCATATGTCTTGGAAGCGTAACCCTGTTGGTCAATTCAGATCATTGGATTTCTCCAAGCCTTATTTTACTTCCGCTATGGTGGCCTATGTGCTTGGTTTGGGTACTACCATGGTCGTCATGCATTTCTTTAAGGCTGCTCAACCCGCTCTGCTTTATCTTTCTCCTGCTTGTATTCTCTCTGCTTTAATCACAGCAGCCGTTCGTAGTGAAATCAAGGAACTTTTCGAATATACCACTGAAGAGGAGAAGGAAGAAGAGAAGAAGGATAGCAAGAAGAGCAAGAGATCTTCCAAGGCTGTTGAGGAAATCACACTTGAAGAAGATAAGGAGGAAGCACAAGAGGCACTTCAGTTGGAAGAGATTGAATTAGAGGAAGAAGAGGAGGAGGAAGAGGTTAAGAAGACTCCTAGTAAAAAGAGAAACAAGTCAAAAAAGTAGAATAAAACAAGAGAACGCGTTTTTTTTTTATAAATATCTTTTCTTAGTATGAGATAAAGTCTAGAGTTAAAGAGAAATAGATAAAGAGAGAGGAGGAGAAAGATGGTATCATTAAGAGAGAATGTAGATAATATAGATATAAAAGAGACGGGGGAAAAAAAAGATCTGGGTGGTTATTTGCGTACGAGTTGATATATATTTACACCTGTTTCCTTAAAGATATTGGAGAAACCACCACCTACAATCCAACCTTCATTAGTAATTAATTTATTGTCAGGTTGAATAGGCAAGATGTTGATGTGAAATTTCTCTGCACAGATCTGAAAGAAGCTTTGTTCGTCCTCTCTGCTGAGACCTCTTCGTTTGTAACCCAAAAAAATGTCAATATTTTTGACAGCAGCACTTAACCAATCCAGGGTCTGCACGAGCTTACTAAAAGAAGATGGTTCATAAAGCACATCAGAAGCAATGATAATGTCAATTGGGCCCTTTAATAGTAGTGTTTTGACATCATCGTAGTTGCCCCATGTCAATGCTTGTATTTCCGTGTAACCTTCGAGATGATTGGTAGCGCGATTTTGATAAATTAGGTCGAGTGCATGTGGTAGATCCGTCATTGTTATTTGAGGCAAATACTCCTTGTTTTCATCGTATATTTCTTTGTACAATTTTGCCATTAATAAACCCACGCAACCGGTTCTATTACCTCCATAATGTTAGTTACGTATATGACATAATATTGATAAACTACATACCCAGCACTTAAATCTAATATTCTATGGTTTTTAAAACGAGTGGGATCTGACTTGATCTTGTCGGAAAACATTTGAGACAAGACAAGGGCGGAATCCCACATTTTGCCTGGTGTACCCAATTCCCAATTCTCCTTGATAACTAGAAAGGTGTGTTCCTGTACACAACAGGCATGAAAGATGCTTTGCGATAGGACTCTGTTGTCACACCATTGATTGGAATGGTGTACTGTTGTCTGCTGGTCTTCAATGGCAATTGGACCAATCACCAGAGGAAAAGCCTGAATGATTTGTTGAGGCTTACAAGTAGGAAATATTTGAATATAGTAATGTTGTTGTGGATCTGATACAAACGCTTCGTCTATGTTGGATATCATGTATTCGAAATCGCCTTCGCTATCGTGATGAAATCCAGCGATATCTGAGTTTGAGTTAAACTCCCAAGCGTCGTGTTGAAGAGGACGACAGGCGATTTGATACTCTGTGCAGGTGAAAAAGTGCCCGTTTTTCTCGACAAGAAGATGACAGTCAATTTCCAACCAGCAATTCTTTTTTTGTAAATGAGTAAGAGTAAGGCCGAGCTCGTTTACAAGTTTCAGATCAATACGGTTCCATTGGTTGAATGTCGTTTCAGTCGAGTAAGCTCGCGATAAAAGTATTCGGTACAAGGTAGAGTATCTTTGCAAAGTATTGTAATAATCTTCAACTACCTCATTACCTGCATTAAATGATCTTTGACAAGTCTTCATTTAGCTGTCAATAAATAAAAGTGCGTTGAAAAATAAAGAAAAAGAAAAAAGAATTTATATTTTTAAAGTCCATTTATTGTCCTGAAATAATTATAGTTCCAGGTGCATTTCTATCTTTTCGTAAGTCAATCAATAAAGATTTCATACGAGAGACATCACGTGTGGGGAAAGCAGCCTTTGAATTTGTTATATTGATCTCGGAGACTACGCCTGACCAAATATTAGACGGTGTTTCCTGTCGTTTCAACACATGCTTGTCTTCTCTGTCCCTGTTTTCCTCAATCGCACGCTGCTTTCGATCATTGTATTCTTCATAGAATTTGTCAATATCCTCTCGCGCTCGGTTGATAACCTCAGCCTTTCTCTCTGCTTCTTGGCGATCTCTCTGTGCAATCACTTCAGCCTGCTTTTCTCGCCACTGTCTACATATAAAATTTAGATTCCTTTTTGTTTGTGACCCCTCACACAAGGATTATACCTCACAACATCAGGTTCTGCATCTGGCAACATGGCTTTATGAAACGCCTATTCATATTAAAATTGGTTTTCTTAGCAAAAAAAAAAAAAAGAATAGTAACAATCGTTCTTTCGGGTTTTTTACCTGGGATGATTCTAAATGTTCGGCCTTTGGAAAATTAGATTCAAATGAAGGTGGTGGAGATGCAACAGTCTCAAAGTTGGATGAAAAGAAATCAGCGTCCTGACCCAAGACAGCTCTCTCACGAGCAAAAAAATCAGCAGTAGGGTCACTATTAAAGTCTCCAAAGTCAGACATTTCACAAAAGAGATCAAGAAAAAAGAGATGGTGAGATGAACAAAAAGAAAAAAAAAAAAAAGGTGGTTTTATTATACCCTCAAGGTAGGACAAAGAAGGTACACCTTGTGATATGTGCGTTCAGGGCAACATGTACTTTTTAGGAATACACAACAGTAAATTGTCCCAGATACTAGGCATGGGTAAAATATGTGCTACAGTCAATGGGACCCCTTCATTCTTTTTCGTTCAAAATAAAGATTTCTTTCGCCTCGGTGATATCACAGTTCAATGTACAATCTCCTAAATCAATTAAAACTCTTGTGTGTCTTAGCTGGCGCATGCTTAACTAATATCGTTTGTGCATTCAGGATGAATTGCTCAGTCGTGATCTTTTCGGTAAAATATTTCTCCCGGGCTTTTAAATAGTCCAACAGCGTCACAGCAACGCATATCAAGATGTCCATGCAGGCAAGCTTGTAGCGTGTATTATAATAAAACACGCCCTTAAAGAAAGTTAAATGACCTTGTTGCAAACTATAACTATACACGGATCGTAACAAATAGGCAACCTTGTTGGTGATCTCAAACTTTCCGGCAGGTTCAGCGGAAGTCTCTGGACTATAAGAGTTAATGTAAGGGGGTGTCGTATTGATAAATAGAGGCACTCACTGTTATTTGAATACAAGTTGGTGATGGTCTTTACTAATTTCTGCTGTAGTGGCTGCTGGCTAGAAAGAGACGTATGAATGACATAATACACAGGACGAATACATACTTCAACACCTAGCCATGCATAAAAATCTGTATTGTTCTTTTGCAATGCTGTGGAGAGATCAAATAGTTTAAGGTGATCCTGTCTCCAGTGCCAAGTCTTGTACAACTGTGGCAGAACCATTTCCAAGATAGCTACCAGACATACTGAAAAGAAATGTGGCAGATAAGTTAAATAACAGAAAAGAATGGATAAAAGAAATAAGGTTTATTTACATAAATTTCCATTAAGGTCTTTCTATGTTAAAAAATTGTGTTCAATATTCTGTAGACTTATTTGATAAGTGCTTGAATAAAGAGCCTAATTGATCCCAACTTGTTATTCACCAACTGGAATTTCATAAAAAAGACCAAGTGATCTTCAGAAAAGTGATCAATCAAGGCTCAAAAAAATGACCGATTTAAATTTAAAAGGTGACCAAGTTTCTCAAAAAAAAAAAAGTGACCAACTACCAAGCTTTTTGTATTCATTTAGAAAAAAAGTGATAGAAAAAAGGGTCGGCTTTAAAAAAAAAGTGCTTTATTTTGTATCACATTTACTGCCTTGTTTGAGAAAATGACGAGCAAAACTGTAGCGGAGATTCCCGCTAATACTTTTTTCTCTCACTCTTTTATTTTACCCGTTTCCCTTTTTTTTTTTTTTTTTTTTTTTCTCTTTCCAAAACAATCCTAATGTCGAAAGTTTGGGAAACAAAGCTTAGTCCACAAGAAGTACAAGCGTATAAACAACTCTTTGAAGTAGCGAGTAAAACACAGCCAGATATTGTAACTGGTCAGGAAGCAGTACAGTTCTTTGCAAAGTCAGGACTCAACAATACTCTGTTATCAGAAGTAAAAAAATAAAAATGAATACCTTTCTTTTATTATGCTAATTTGCCCGTGTTAGATTTGGGAGACAGCAGACGAGAAAAATCTCGGCTATTTGACTCAAGACACGTTTGCTATCGCACTCAAATTAATCGCATGTGCCCAAAATGGTATCCAACCCATTCAGCCTTTATTCTCTACAAGTAAAGTTTTTTTTTAAAAAAAAATGTTTCACAAGGGTTTATGTCGATATTCTAATCTATTTCACAATAGTTACACCTTTACCAAAGATACAGGGTGTTCAGCTGACGCAAAAATCCACCATTACACCCGCAGAAAAATCCAAGTATGCAACCATTTATAAAGCACAGCAACCGACAGCCAATGGTATACCTGCTGACGCTGCACGCCAATTATTTGCAAAGTCAAGGTTGCCTCAAGACCAATTAGCTCAAATTTGGTAAGCAATACCGTTGTAAACAACCAAGGTAAATTGAATTAACACGACAGTGGGGGAATTGTATAGGAATTTAGCAGATATAAGAAAGAATGGATACCTGGATGAGGCAGAATTTGCAATTGCCATGCATTACATTGCCAAACTTATGGATAAATCCATCACAACTTTACCTTCCATCCTACCCCCCGATATTTATCAATCCGTCTCATCACCATCATTACCGTCTACGCGCACAAAAAAGATTGATTCTATTGGTACCATGGCCTTTTCATCTGCTCCTCCTTCTTCATTTGCAGCATGGGATGTCTCAGCCGACGAAAAGACACGATATGATGCATTTTTCACAAAACTGGATAAACAACAAAAGGGATATATTGCAGGTGCTGAAGCTGTAGAGTTTTTCAAGAACTCAAAGCTACCCGATGCAGATCTTGCAAAAGTATGGGATTTGGCTGATATGAGACAATCCGGTACACTCACCAAAGACGAGTTTGCTGTAGCAATGCATTTGATCAATAAACGATTGACAGGCGGTCAATTACCTTCAGTTTTGCCTCAGTCATTGGTTCCACCTCCTACACCTGTATTACCTCCTTTCAGTCCTATACAAAGAAGCGGCTTCACAGCGCCAGGTAAGATACAGATATCATAGCAATATAAAGAAAGGGGATGCTTACAACCAAGATAGACGAGGATTTGATAGGCGATTTTGGAAACGACCAAGTAGTGCAAGAAACGAACACTGTCAACCTTTTACAAAACCAAATTTCATCCACTCAAAAGACCACTTTGGATATTCAATCACAAAAATCCAAATTAGAACAATCTTTGCACGTTCTTCAAACCAAGAAACAGGACTTGCAAACACAAGTGGATGGATTAAAGTCACAACAAAAGGAAGGTGCTGACCAATTACAAAAATTGAAATCCACTATCGAAACGGAAAAGCCAGAGTGGGAGCAGGCCAAACAAGACTTGGAAAACGCTGAGATCCAATTAAAGTCCACGCAGGAATCCGTCGATCTTGCCAAAAATGAATTGAAAAAGAATCAAACTGAAAATGAAAAATTGCGCAGAAATGTTCATAATATTCAAATGGAGTCGATGAAACTGACAAAGATGTTGGACAATTTGCATGAGCAGCATAAAAAGCGTCAGGAAGCTGCTCGTAAAGCCGAAGAAGCTCGTAAGGCAGAAGAGGCACGCAGAGCTGAAGAAGAACGTAAGGCAGAAGAGGCACGTAAGGCTGAAGAAGAACGTAAGGCTGAAGAAGAACGTAAGGCTGAAGAAGAACGTAAGGCTGAAGAGGCACGTAAGGCCGAAGAAGCTCGCAGAGCAGAAGAGGAGCGTCTTAGGATAGAGGAAGAATTACGTAAAGCCGAAGAAGCACGTAAGGCTGAAGAGGCACGTAAAGCTGAAGAAGAACGTAAAGCTGAAGAAGAACGTAAAGCTGAAGAAGAACGTAGGGTTGAAGAGGAACGTAGGGTTGAAGAGGAACGTAAAGCTGAAGAGGAACGTAAAGCGGAAGAAGCTCGCAGAGTAGAAGAGGAGCGTCTTAAGATAGAGGAAGAAACCCGTAAAGCCGAAGAGAAAAGACTTGCTGAAGAAGCACATAGAGCTGAAGAAGCACATAGAGCTGAAGAGGAAAGATTAGCTGAACAAGCTAGAGTTGCAGAAGAGCAAAGACTTGCCGAAGAAGCTAGAGTTGCAGAAGAGCAAAGACTTGCCGAAGAAGCTCGTAAGGTTGAAGAAGCTCGTAAGGTCGAAGAAGCTCGTAAGGTCGAAGAAGCTCGTAAGGTCGAAGAAGCTCGTAAGTTTGAAGAAGAACGTAAGGCTGCAGAAGAACGTAAGGCTGCAGAAGAACGTAAGGCTGCAGAAGAACGTAAGGCTGAAGAAGAACGTAAGGCTGAAGAAACTCGCAAGGCCGAAGAACACCAACATATGGTTGAAGAGACTAGACTCGCAAATGAAGCTATGTTGGCCGAAGAAACTCGTCAAGCAAAGGAAGCCCACAAGGCTGAAGAACTTAGACTTGCCGAGGAGTCTCGTAAGGCTGAAGAAGCGAGACTTGCAGAAGCTGCCCAGAAAGAAAAAGAAGCTCAATTTTTGGCTGAAGAGAATAATCGTCTTAAGTTGGAGGAAGAAACCCGTCTTGCCCAAGCTGAACAAGCACGTCTTGCTAATGAAGCCTACCAAGCCGAACAAGCACGTATTACAAAGGAGGCCCAACAAGCTGAACAAACAAAACTTGCCGAGGAAGCTCATCATGCCGAACAAGAACGTCTTGCCGAACAAGCACGTCTTGCCGAAGAAAATCGTGTTGCTGAGTTGAACAAGGTACAAAAAGAACAGGATGAACGCATTGCTGCTGCTGCTCTTGCAAAAGCTGAATTCGATCATCGTCAAGAGCAAGAAGAGGCAGCTAGAAAGCTTCAAGAAGAACAAAGAAAACGATTAGAACAAGAAGAGGAGAAATTGAGACGTCAACAACAAGAAATAAAATTAAAGGGAGAGGAAGATGCACGCATTGACGCAGAATTCAGGTTTAGAAAGGAAGAGCAGGAAAGATTAGCGGTGCACAAACAAGAAGAGGAAGATATTGCCGCGGCAGCTACATCAGTACAAAAGGTAGCACCTGTTACTGTTGAGGCAGATGACGTGGTAAAGAACGGTGATAGAGGAATAAAGAAGGAAGAGGTAATTTATAAGAAGTATGCATATATTAAGTTTTGCATGTATATTATTATATTCACTAATTAATAAACTTTGTTGCTTTATTCTATTAGGAGTCAGCAGGAAAGGGGACACAATCCGAGATTAAGAATTTGGCGGTTGGTAATAAAGTAGAACAGGATGAAACCGAGTCAGTGGAAGACTTTTTTGATGCAGAAGATTCACCACCTGTACCCTCAGCAGCAGTAACAACAACAACGGGCAATTTTGATGAAGCTGAATTTGTCATGATTGACCATCCTCAAGAACAAGGAGATAAAGTGGCCAACCAAGACCCCTTTTTGACAGAAAAGCAAAGTAAAAACAACAATATCGCGGAGATTGCGACATCAGAACCAGTTGAAAAAGTGTCACCCTTTGATGCTGTATTCGGCGTAGGTGAAGAGGAGCCAGTCATGGTGAACTCGTTTACAGATGAGTCTCTGTTTACAAATAGTACAAATAGCAGCACACATCGTGTTGTACCCACGAACAAGAGCTCAAAAAAACCTCCTGCCCCACCACCACAACAAAGAAATAGATCCAAAGAGCAACATCAGCAGCAGCAAACAACTCCTGCTGTGAATCAGAGTGATTTTGATACTATTTTTGGAATGCATAATGAAACAAAAAATGTTTCGGACACCAACACGAGTAGTAGTCAAGTTACACCAGATGCAAAGACAGTGCCTTCCGATCAAACAAACCACAAAGAAGTTATTTCAAAGGGTGAACAAGGAGGTGTGGGAGTGAAAGAAGAGCATGAAACTGCTTCTGCTACGAAAAAGAAAGGAGAAAAAAAAAAGAAGAAGAATATTGTTTCTTGGGCCAAGAGTTTTGGTGGATTTGACTTTTCGTCAGAAGATGATAAGAAAAAGAAGAAGGATAAGAAGAAGGCGAAGGAAGTTCAACCAGCAACTTTAGCTCCACCGCAAGCAGCGGCCCCTCCACCAAAAGCAAAAGCACAAACACAAGCACAAGAACCACCAGTAACAACACCGAAGAAAACAAGTGTTCAAAGTGCTTCATCAGAACAACCTCCTGCACCAATTAATAATAATTCTATTCCTGCTTTTGATCTGGATACTATTCAAGGTAGTCATATCGCCGAGTTGGTTAATATGGGTTTCGAACCCGCTGCTGCATTGGAGGCTCTAGATCGCTACGACCAAGATCTTGTCAAGGCAACAAACTTTTTGCTGGATCAATTTAATTAGTCTTTTACTTTTAATATATAATATCATAATCTTTCTTTTTTTTTTTCTGAAATAAGAAAAATATATGTGCGTTATAAGTTTTTCCATCGCATTTGTTTGTATGACGAGTAAGGGGTTATAAAAAAATGTTGTTATGTATGGTTTTTGACAAAATATTTACACATGCTTACTAAAGGTCCAAGCGTTGTTGATATTTGGACATGAGAAAAAAAAAAAAAAAAAGGCACGTTATCAAGAAAAAGATAGGGAGATACTATTGCTTACAGTGTTGCCATAACAACAAGTAAAACAACAACAACAAATCTTAAATTTGTGTTCTCCCTATTCTCCCTTTTTTTTTTCATGTGTATAAAAAAAAAGGTTGATTTATAATTTACTTTTTCTTTCTCTCTTTCTTCCGAGCAGGCACTTTTTGATCTACAAAAAAAAAAGATATATATACGTATATATAAATATAACTAGTATGGATTCCAATATATCGCAACAAGCGTACACATCAATGATGAAATTTACAATCGATGGACGACCTTTTCTTAAGGTAAACAAAGCAATATTGTTTTTTAAACAATGAAATAGCTAATGCAGGATTAAAATGTAGGATATTCATGATCTGTTTGCTGCACTGATTGTCCAAATCCCACTTGACACGCACAGATATTTATTTCGAAATTATTACAATACGTTTTCATCAGAGGATGCTATTCAAGCCTTGGGTAATTTACGCTTTTCGCATACCGTACGTATACCCGATCCAAATGATTCATCTCGTCAACAAAGAACTACCACCACAACAACATTCAATATGGCCAGAGAAATGGCGAAATCCCTCTGTCAACAATTTCAGAACTGTAGGTTAATGGAAAATGCAGTTGACCCCCAGAATCGCACATTTCGCGATAAAGGTATTTGGCACTTGACACCAAAAGGTTTATGCGTACTACAAGACTTTTGTGTTCGTACCGAAGTCAATGTATCAAGCCTCAGAAAACATTTTAGTCATATGGAAGCTATTCATCTCGTTCGCTTAGAACGTAATTCTGATGATGATCAACTGCTATTAAACAGAGCGTGTGTATCTGTCATTTTCAGAGTCATGATGACTTGTCTACCTGTAGATGGTGAATTATCTAATACTGGAAATGCAAGCTCCGTGTCGGTTTCAACAAGAAATACACCACCTTCTTCGACTTCTTCCTCTGTATCATCTGGCTCTTCTTCTACAACACCTTCTCTTAGTGCTCCATTTGCAATGTCATCCACTGTTTCTGGTGGTGATTCAAGAGTGCATATGCTTGGTAACTACTTGTTGACTTTGTCCAAGTCTACGCGACAAAGCAAAACTGCCAAAACAATGAGAACAGTCTTTTCTTCTCAAATGTGCTGTGATTGGTTATTAGAATACAATACTGTCTCCTGTCGTGAGGAAGCAGAAATAATTGCACAAGAATTTATCAAATATAACTGGATCGAACACCAGGATGCTAAACACGTCAACACACCCATAAAGGCATCTAAAGTGATCATGTTTGTTGTGACGGAAAAAGGAAAGCAAGTAGTATCTGAACCTATAAAGCAACAAGTCCCACCTCAGCAACCGCAGCCTGCATTAATTGCTTCGTCAACCAACTTAACGAGATCAAGAACGAACACAATCGGAACCATTACCGAGGAAGAAAAAACGACGTTGAAAGAGATACTTTCACAAGATCCTGAATCCTTACTAATTACAACCACACAGCAAACAACAGACGATGATACAAGCTCGATAGCAGAGACAACTGCTGAACTATCTATTTCACGCCCACCTAGTATTGCAGTAGAACAGCATGATCCTAAAGAAAGTAATTCTGCGCGACTCAAGATCATATTGGAAAGTCCTAAACTTCGATCACCATTTAAAGACTTTTTAAGGGCTAATTTTTGTGAAGAAAACCTGGACTTTTGGATTGATTTCAACACTTTAAGAAGAAAATATCGTAACCAAAGTCCGGCGTTACCTTCCCAAAACCAAAAGGATTTACTTGAAGATGCTTATGATATCTGGTCTACCTATTTAGCACCTGGTTCAACCTGTGAATTGAATGTAGAACACTCGCTTTGTCAAGAAATGGCTCGTATCGTCAATTCTGTTGTGACAATTATTCCGTCTGCCTATCCCGGACAAAGCAAGCCTACAATCTTAATCACGGCTTCATCTGCCTCTCAAAGTCTACGAATGATGCTTAAATTATTTGATAGAGTGAATGAACATATCTGCCGTCTGATGGCCTCAGATTCTGTACCCAAATTTGTAAAAACTGAAAAATATCGTAAAATTATTGATCAAATCGAGCGAAGTGAACGTAAAAAACAACGTGAATTAAATGAAGTCAGCGATTCCTTAAGAAGGATGGAGTCAAAGGAGGAATTACAAGCTTAAATTTTTTTTTTTTTGGAAATAATAAAAAAAAATCTTTGAAACTCCCTTTTAACCCTTGTCTATTTTCAACATGACTCCATTAACAAAATACTATGCAAAGATTTTTGGCGTGGGCTTAGCCATTGGTGGTGCAATGGAAGTCTTATTAATCAAGAGTAATTACTGTAAGTTGTCTTGTCATTAGTGAATCGTTCTCAATTGACACATTTGTAAAAATAAAAAAGATCAAATGTTGGCTGCTTCAGAAGCCAAGCAGAACATGAAGGATCTCGTACAGGAACAGGAAGACTTGGAACGTTACCAACGCATGAAAGCTGCTGCTAGTTCTTCTTCTTCCTAAAACTCACTCGTGTTTACATTTACCCTTCTCCCCTTTTTATTTTTATTTTTGCAGAAACCTGTAAGGAGCTATTCGCATAACAATAAAATGCTCTCCTTTTATTTAATTAGAAAATAGTTTCGGACACAGTACAAATTTGGAATTTCAGTGTCTTTTTCATAAACAGTTGGTCGGTAGGGAGAGTCTTTTATGCATTACCTGTCAAAAAAACTAGGCTCGAGAGGTGCATATTATTCTTCACCTACATTTGGTGTTTATTAATACTCCGCGTTAGTTCGATCACGGATCGATGACATCCAAGGGTTCCAATAAATGCACTTGCTTGTGATTCTTGGATAAAAGCTCCCACTGTTCAGCGACGCACAAATTTTTATGACATCCTGTAGTTTCTTTGCTGGTAGAATTTATTAACAAAAACGTGACAAGATGAGTCAAAGATTCTGTAATAAAAACCCAACCCAGACATCTGGACATAACCAGGTTTATTTCAATCCAAACTTAATCCCCATTTTTTGTCACGGGTACATCTTCAGCTGATTATTACATCCAAAGCTTCTATGACAACCTTTTCTTCATGTAAGGTTCTCGCTATCGGTTTTTTGCCGATTTTTTCCTGCTTAATTAAAAAGGTATTCACACTGATGATAGACCTAAGTTTGCGTTTCCGGGCCGAGAGATTAACAATAACCGTCGGTCTACAATAAACTAATTGAGGTAGGAGCAGCTTATATCCATATCATGTGTTATCTTGATCTTTTTTGAATTCGATTTGGTTGTTTGTCAAATGTCTCTTATCTTTTGGGCAATACCCGAAAAAGAATTCCAGACTTTTTTTTTTTGCCACATATTGAATTTATCACCGAACTTGTTTATGTTAAACAAGACTAATGTTGTGTCATTGTTTTGGCTTCTATTCAGTAACATATTCTGATGTCATTTTTTGTGACATTTCTCTCCTCTTTTATTTTTCCTGTGCATCAGAAGCAGATTTTAAACCAATGTTATTTTCAGTCTATAAACGGAAACAAGTCCAGAAACGGAACAAACTCTTAATTTAGCTTATGCATAAATGTAAGGGCTTGGTTTTTATCTGCATGCGGTCAGCAGGTTGTTGATCAACATCGTACGATTACATGCAAGTTTTTGACACAGACTTCATCTAGGATACACAATATGTCAAAAAGAACTGTTTGTTCATAATCGATATTGGGTTTACGAACAGGTGGTCCAGGTAAATACGGTATGATATGTACGATAGCCAGTAGTTTGCTAAAACCTCGGAGGGAGAATATACATGCTGCATTGAAGACAGTGGATATTTAAGAGCAAACACTATGGCGGATTCGTTGTTTGTTGTAAACAACTTTGTTGACAGAATCAACAACTGTGATTGATTTTCTCAACAAAGTTTTTGACCATTTTTTTTTTTTTCATAAAAAAGAATTGTTGCTGGCCAACAACTTTGGTAAATTATTCAAGTGTAGATTTGTTTATAAATTCTGGTGTCACGATTTTTTTATACTCAAGTGGACGTTCACTCGGCGCTTAAGATTCATTCACGTCATTTTGCCTATGTTTATTTCTATTTTATTCCTATATTTCTTAAAGACTACTTGCTTTCCCCATCTTCGAGTGTAGCAATTCCTTGAAAATGTGATGCGATATGACTTTGTAATAATTTTCAGTCACGGTGTATCGGACAAGGCCTACGTTACAAATGATATCTTTGAAACGACAAACAACATATGTTGACCAGGGTGATGTAAGACTACCTTTGGCATGAGCCTGTCATAATCTACCACTCAATGTAATTCAGCCACATCAATTAAGACAAGAAAATCATTCACGCCATCAAATTTGGTTTCAAAAAAGAAGGTGATGGAACCGACATAAAGTTGACTCGTTAAATTGTTGTAGTGGCTATAAAGGTTTAGGAAAACTGTCTGTACGACTAAATAATGACGATCAACAACCGATCTTATTTTAGGTGGGATGCAGCAAACAAAACATAGTTATACCTTTTCTGTGCTCGTTGATATGATCTTTGAAAAAAGAGGAGATATACACAATATCATCATACCAGGTCCGACGGCACTATTAACTACACCATTACTTGTTTTGACAAGCTCGTAGAAACCGGAATATGTTCTGCTGTAAAGCAGAGATAAGTTGTCTATCTGATACACTAGATACAATTCGGCTTTTAGGTCACAAAACCAAATAAAACTGGCGTAAGCCCAAATATTTATTATGACTACAACTTATCACTAACTACTGGGTCTCCAGAGGCTCTCCTTACATCATTTTTAAACCATACCTTTCACATACCACTGGGAGATTTACTTGTCTACATTATTATATTAGCAAACCCTTCATCCTTTGAATTGAGCTTTTTTATGACCACGCCTAAAGAGTGGTTGACTAGGTTAAGTTTTACATGATTGTCCAACTGCTCCATATCTTTATCAACCTAAACAGCTGTTCTTCCTGTAGTTATGTTACATCGTCGGAAACTGCTCCTAAATTATATATTTGTAGCGTCACATTTTCATCATATAAATTAAATATACCTTCTCCCTGTTGGAAGTATGATATCTTCTAACATGTCTTCTATAAG